ACAGATTGTGCAGTCCTCATTTTGGGCACAAAGAAGGTTTTAATAGTAGGGGTTGTGCTTGGTTCAATTTACAGATAACAGACCAAAGATTAAACCTACATTACCATATGTTGCAGACGGGCGATATTTGCCTTAATATTTTATTGATGTTTATAGCAACTAAAATTAGTCACACAGCAGGCAAAGGAATTCAGGAAACATTTGATCTGGGTTTTAAAGTTACCGGTAATCAAGAAGAGTTTAAACTTTTCTATAGCTATTCATTTCAGCCCTAAGTATTAGAAGATAACATTTCCTGTCCGGAAAACACTTAATACTTCTGTAATTGGCCGCAAGGCAGAAAATGCATTGCATTCATCTGCTTTCATTTTCTCTCGTCACGAAGTTCCAAACATTGCAAGGTCGCGCTAGAGCTGGAAACAAAAATCTCAACCGAATCCTGGTAGAAATAAATTCACTTAAGGTTATCATACAATCTACGTCTTCAAGAGATTTGTTTGGTGAGTTGATCGAGATCTGAGATTTGTTTACGAGAACTCTACAAAAGACGATTTAGCGAAAACAATACAGCCCGAGGGTAATTAGCGCGGTGCGCTATCTTGCGGTTTGTGAAAACAGTTGCCCTCTGCGGTCTTCAGACGAACCACATGTGTTGCGATGCCATAAATTTCCCACAACATTCTCACACAATATATCAACACTTTAAATGTACGAAAGTACTCGAAGATCGCATGGCTATAGAAACAAAAGTCAGCTAACACACTCACCGCCATTTTGAAGTCTGTCGTACGGAACGAGAAAGTCCTTGGGAATGAATCCTTCAGCACCTTTCATATTTGCCACCCAGTACCAATCTTGATCGTCCTTGTTTAGTACACGAACTATGTCTCCTTTCTGAGCGTTGATATCGTTCTCGTCGCAAGCAGTGAACTCGAATCTGACAACGTAATCACCAAAATCATTTTTCTTAAAATTAAACGCCGGTGTAGGGTCTGTTTGCACTTGTAATGAGTCGAGGAACGAGGCGTTGCGGAAATTATTCCTTTGAAGACCTTTTTGTTTCTCTTTTCTTTTCTCGTATTCTTCTTCTGGAACACAGTATGTAAACGGTACAAATCCTTCTTTACCATCGTTAGTTATAACATAGATCCAGTCTGTTTCTTGGTATAAAGCTTTGACATGTTGGCCTCGCTTTACGGCGACCTCGTCTTCGACACAAGGGATGAAATCGTGTAAGACAACCATTTTGCGAGGTTCAAATTCAATCTCGACGTCATCTTCCTCCTTGCCTACCTCCACAAGAGAGTCCACACTGTTGCTGCCGGTGATCCGTCCCTTAGTATTTCCATTTCGAGTGGTGTCTTTTTGTTCTTCATCTCGATACCCTGTCAAGGAAATTGACAAGCCGAGTGAGACCATCGTGTAAACAAAAACCTCATAAACGGTTTTCAAACACTACCCGAAGCTGAACCTGACTACTCACGTTTTCTCCGTCTCCTTGGAATTCTCATGGGGCAGAAAAACGCCATGGTGAGATAAAACTGCTGCAGAAAATTCGAAGATCAGCCAACTCTCAACCGCCGATCAAAAGAATGCGTGTTGATGTGTGAAGTAAATGAGGTTGATGGCACTCTGGGAAGTGCCTTTGTCTGATCGTCCCATGAGACCTTGTGAGTTTTTCTTATGGGAGGGGAGAGAGGCCAAGGGCCTTGACACTTGCTCTTCGCGGGTCTGACTTTGAGGGAATGAGGACAAAACAAGCAGCCAAACGAACGAAGAACAACTCTGGGTGAAGTCTACAACTATTCAGTTTATCCAGCATATTAGACATAAAATAAATTTCATAAAGTTGGGACAGAGACCTTATCAGATTATAATATCTTCTGGAAAGTACGGATAGTTTATCACAGAAGATTTCACCATTCAGATTTGTGAGCTCGTGGGTTACTTGCTAAACTTTCTACGAAAAAAAACCTTCAGTATCTTATTATCTAATCCTCAGTTTCTGTGTTCAAGAGAAACCAGCTGACTCATTTTCTGAAATGCCAGAATTTTCTGGGAATTTTAGTGGGTGTAGGAAGGATCTCAATTCGGATCTTTGCGGGCAACCATTTTATCATTATTCATACCGCAGGGAAGGGTTGGGCATAAGAGATGGCGGGGAAAATTTAGCAATTTGTTTAGAGGCAATATGAATGACAAAAACAAATTGCACAAGAGCCGGATTATATTGTGTGAGAAGTAGTTAGTGTCAACATTCTGTTTTCATCGTCAGCACCTTGTTATCTGACCTTCTGTTCACCTCTAGTTATCACGTTCTGTGGCGTTTCTCTTTTCGGCACCTTGTTTTTTTGATATTCAATTCGGCTGACACTCCCCCGCTCAAAATATTCGTTAGTATCATGGTTAGATTGATCACCAGCGGCAGGGAAAACTCGCCCACAAACAACGAATCTGGAGAACACGGAAATCGCGCCTATATCACTGGTTGATATTATGGTCAACTGTCAACGCCGGTGTCTTTAAAGTCGGTTTCTTACTATGACCGCAGCGCTATGCTACGCTATGGGCGCGCCGTTTAAAACACGAAAAGGCCCAATGATGAAATGGCGCTAAGGGTAAGAGGTGTCTTAAAGGATTAACCCTTATACTTATTGCGAACTAACACTTTCGAGTCAGTGATATTTAGGCTAACCTGAGTGCCATTTAGGCTAATGGTAGTGTTATTTCGTCATTTCACCCTTTCATGGTTTATACTCGCCCCTACGTGATATGCTAGCTTTCGAGGCCAGCAGAAGCTTCAAAATAGATTTCGGGATGCAAAGAGAATTAACTCTGTACTGGCGCGGTTAAAATAAAGCAATATTCGGAAATTATAAAATGCAACCGATTTTGTTGTGAGAGTAATCAAATATTCCAGTTACTTTTCTGTAGGCTCGTTTTCCAGCCCCAAGGAATGCGAGCTCACAAAACGGCTGGAAATCGAACCTGACATTTCTGTGGAATTGAAAAAAATAATGTCGTTCCAGTATCGCGGGGTAATAAAATAAAAAGTAGCAGAAAAGGAGCGAAGAAATTAATATCATCCCAGCGATGGCGGAGCAACTGGGAAGGGCCTGAGGCACGTTTCTCGAAAGCTCCGGAGACTTTTTGGCCCGCAAAGCCATTTTCAGATAATCTGTATTTAAAAACCGAGAGGTGTATACGCCTGAAACTCCTTGTATGAAGAGAACCTCTGCTGATATTAAGAATATGTGAATAAAACAGCTCTGCAATCATAAGGTTTGAGATTTTGCTACGGCTTTTTGGGTGCGAAAACTTTTCGGGACCTTCGAGAAACCATAGTTAGTAGAGGAGGATAATTCCTCGGGCTTCCAAAGGAAAGCCCGAGCCACAAAATGCAAGCCGTTTTGTCTTGGTCGCCAATGCGACAGCTTATTTTATCGCTCGCTTTTCAATTTTCGTGAACAACGTAATATACAGAATACTGTGTTTTGTGAAGAAAGTTTTGGCCGGAAAGAATCACGCCTTATACGTTTATTTCATATACAAAGATGTGGATCGTTTTCGAAACGGGTCGGTCCACGAGTTATCTTACTTGAAAACCTGCCAAATAAACAAAATTGATGCTCGTTCTCACAAGTAAACAATTGAGAAATATATCAGTTCAAACTAAGAAAACTCTGACAAAAAGCTATGATTACTGACTTAAAAACAAACTCTGATACTATTGAAAAAATCAAGAAGCGTCGTAAACAGCCGGAATTTCGAAGATGAGGCCAACAACATGCATGCAACATGGATAAAGAGGATACTCAACTGAAGCAACTTGAACACTTAAGCGTAACTCTTCTGTTAAATATCCTGTTCATTAACATGTAAAGTACGATTTACATAAATGCACGCCACAATTTCGCAGTCGGAAACGACTGCAAGAGGCTCACACTGGTGTTTCTAAGGCATTTAAATGAAATGTCAATTCTTGACCATGGTCAGTATTTTCTCTTATTTTCTGTAGTAGCGCTTCCTTACACACAAACAAAATGTTTAGTGAAAAAGACTAAGGCAAGGAATGTTCAAGGACTCTTAAACTAAGGAAGTTTCTCGACGTCTGTTGCCTGTTAACTCTAAGGGCCCTAAAGTGGCACGCTTGAGAGAAATCTCTATATTTGCCCTTTTAAATGATACAGGGGACATGAATAAAACAGCTTAGGTCCCTGCAGTCAAACATTATAAAACACGAGATGTGCCTTGGTTTTATTGCCATGCTTTCAGTATTTTCGCTGGTTATGTTATTTCAAGTCTTGTCGCCTATGAAAATTACTTGACATTGAGATATACTAATCATATAAACTCCTGTATTGGTTTAACAAGCACAGTGTACGCAACAGTGCAAGTGGAAATACGCAAGAGATTTTAAAAGCATCGACGTCACAAAACATCTTTGAAAAGTTTGTCTTTATTTTCAAGCCTGCCGTCCCAGAGTCTTGGCCAATGATGGTGATAAACATGTTAGATCACTATAGATAGTCTATGAGGACCAATATTTCGGATTGCTACTCTTTATAATCTATTCTTTTTACTTATTTAAAACCGAATCTAAGTTGTAATCTCAAAAATCTGGTACGATGGCGAACAACCCTCGATGACATAATTACTTTTGATCTAACATGCGAACAGGATATTCTAGCAACAAACATGTCTAACATGTATTTATATGTAAAATGATATACTGCAATTGTCACTTATCTAATTTGCTCGAAGATGATTCTGATGCAATTAAGATCGACAACACCGTCCGCATTGTTATTTTTCCATTACAGCATATCCTGTGCATTGTTTTCTGATTTCAATGAGTGCTTTTTAGTAATCTGTGATCAGGCGGTTTTTTTTTTGCGAGCGGGAGATGGGGAAAAAAGAACACCTGATTGCAGGTTAGTTTTCTAGGTTATGTCTTCCAACTTAATTTAAAAAATACATTCCAACTTCCCTTTTAGAATATTATTCACTTAGCTACACTGTACTTTAAAAATTAAATGCTTTGGCAAGGTGTGCAGTACATGGGTATTGTGTTGGTAAACAAAGCAGATATTTCGGTATAACTTTCCACAACAAAGAAATGATAAAAAATTCTGCCAGTTACATCACAAAAGCCCGTGAAACGAAGCTGAAAAATAATGAAGGTCAGTGAAATGCAGAAGGACCCTGTGTAGAAGAGGCGAGCATTTTTCAAGTAAGGCATTCTTACATGTTTAGTGTCTACTCATATTAATATATTTTATGCTATTTACTGAGATTCTCAAATATTTTTTAATTCATATGTCGCCTGCTGCCCGGACTGTGTTCTATGTAAATACACAGCCCTACTCTAAGTTATCTACTTGCCTGCTGGCAATCAATTTTTTATTGACCCTTTTTTCGAAATTTCCAAACAAGAAACTGTTTTAATTTTGGGGAGGAAAGATGTTAGCTTACAGCTGCAGGTTCGTAATCCAACGGGTTCTTAGTAAGAGGAAGATTTATACGGTATTGTAGAGCAGTTTTGAAAGGACAGTGTTCAGGCTGGTTATCGGTCGGAAAGCAAATGGGAAATTCGGTAAGTGTGTTCAGAAATTGTGGACTTGGTACGAACCGTCGGAAAATTCTGTACTGTTTGCTCATTTTTCCCATTTCTAGTCTTCCATCATGGGGAAAACAGAAACCAAAGACCGAAGTATACAGCTATTTCAAGAAAGGTTTTCCTACGTATTAGAAGCATACGTGACAACGTCGAAAAGTATTATGGGTAATGGTGGTTTACGGCTGTGGCTTGATAATATTGAAGCTCAAGGTGTATCAGCGTGATAGAAGGAAGCAGCAAAAACACGTGTATTAATGCTTTCTCCTCTTTCTTGCTGAAACACCGTGAACCTCGATCAATCAACGCCAAACTCTTCCTACCCACAGTACCAATCGGCATGTGGCGTATGCTCTTACGCTTTTGTGGGACAGCCTTTGTCGAAACAGCTATAAAAAGTAAGTGCTATTTCTGTTGGTTGTTTCAATGATTTTAAGAAACACTTACCATTCTAAAACAGTCATCCCATCTGGCTCTTTCCAACAAATGTTAGGCAGGCCGAAGTTCATTTTACTAATCACCGGGCTTCAGCAAGTTTTAAATATATAAGTGAAGAAATTTTAAAACCAAATTTGAAAAAAATATATTACAATACTTAAAGAGGAAGCCACATCGACCTTAGCTGGTTTTCATGTAGATCCTCTATCCTGGTTGAATTGGAATTTAGAGAGAGGATCCGGAGAAAAACCCTTGGAGCAAGGCAAGAACCAACAACAAACTCAACCCACATATGGCACCGAGCCAGAATCGAACCCAGGTCACATTGGTGGGAGGCGAGCGCTCTCACCACTGCGTCATCCCTGCTGCCCTATATAGCATTACGTTTTGAAAGCAGTTAGCTCCATATCATTTTTAAGAAAGTTAATTCAAACATGATTGAAAACAAGATAATAGGGTATCTACGATGCCGTTGATTTTCTGCAAACAAAACGGCATACGTAATGTCATTATAACATTCCTGGCAAAATTGACGTTCTAAAACCTGTTGCCTATGTCATGACAACGCCAGTAAGCTTTTACCACTAACGGGCATAAACAATGTCGAAAAGTT